GCTCAGTCCATTACCCTACGTAGGTCGACTCGGCCAAGATCTCAACCTGACAGATATCTTGGTGTTGTATTAACCGAAGATCAGGACATCCTAGTAGTGGATGGAGATGAGACGACAACCTACAAGCAAGCTATGACGAGCCCCGACTCTGCAAAATGGCAAGAGGCCATGAAATACAAAATGGAATCCATGTTTGAAAATCAAGTATGGGACTTGGTTGATTTACCCGCAGGTTACACACCTATCGGATGTAAATGGATTTTCAAGATGAAAACCGACAAAGATGGAAATGTATTTATTTACAAAGCAAGGTTGGTAGCAAAAGGTTACAGGCAAATTCACGGCGTTGATTATGATGAAACCTTTTCTCCAGTTGCTATGCTTAAGTCCGTTCGAATTCTTCTAGCGATTGCTGCATATTACAATTATGAAGTATGGCAGATGGACGTCAAAACCGCCTTCCTCAATGGGATTTTGGAAGAAACTGTGTATATGACACAGCCTGAAGGTTTTGTCGACCAGAATAATCCTAAGAAGGTATGCAAGCTTAAGAAGTCCATTTATGGATTAAAGCAAGCAAGCAGAAGTTGGAATCTGTGATTTGATGAAGCCATCAGTGAGTTTGGTTTTATCAAGAATCCAGATGAGTCTTGTGTCTACAAGAAGGTTAGTGGGAGTGACATCGCCTTCCTAGTCTTATATGTAGATGACATTTTGCTCATTGGAAATAGCATTCCATTGCTAGAGTCTGTAAAGACTTGGCTCGGGAAATGTTTTTCAATGAAAGACTTGGGAGAAGCTCAGTACATATTAGGCATCAAGATCTATAGGGATAGATAAAAAAGGATGATTGGAATGAGTCAGAGTACTTACATCGATAAGGTACTGGCTCGATTCCAAATGGAAGGAGCCAAGAGAGGGCACCTACCCATGTCACATGGCATAACCTTAAGCAAGAAGCAGTGTCCAAAGACACCTGATGAGCGAGAAAGGATGAGTCTAATTCCATATGCTTCGCTTATTGGATCGATCATGTATGCCATGATATGTACTAGGCCTAATGTATCGTATGCCTTAAGTGCTACGAGCCGATACCAATCAGACCCAGGAGAGGCACATTGGACTGCGGCCAAGAATATTCTAAAGTACCTGAAAAGGAACAAGGATAAATTCCTGGTTTATGGTGGTAAAGATGAATTGGTTGTTGAGGGATATACTGACGCAAGCTTCCAGACAGACAGAGACGACTTCAAGTCACGATCAGGATACATATTCTGTCTCAATAGAGGAGCGTTTAGTTGGAAGAGTGCAAAGCAAAGCACAACCGCTGATTCTTCAACTGAAGCCGAGTACTTGGCAGCATCTGAGGCAGCCAAGGAGGTAGTTTGGATTCGCAAGTTCATTGATGAACTTGGTGCTGTACCCTCCATCAAGGGTCCAATAGACCTCTATTGTGACAAAAATGGAGCTATTGCTCAGGCTAGAGAGCCGCGAGAACATCAGAAGGTCAAACATGTCTAGAGGCGATTTCACATGATTCGAGAATGGAAGTCAGAAGGTGAAATCAGAATTTGCAAAGTTGGAACGGATGACAATGTAGCCGATCCACTTACTAAACCTTTGCCTCAAGTGAAGCACAACAAACACATTGAGGCAATGGGAATCAAGCATGTCATGAACTGGCTTTGAATTCCATTTTATAGTGTTTTAATCAAATTTTGAACAATGTTGATGTAAAGCACCATGATGAACCATTCAGTTTTGGAGTAATTAAAATTTTCATGCAATTTAAATCACTCCGTCTCTATTTAATTGTGGTTTAGAATTAAATAATGAGATCATTCGATTTTAATAAATATTCAAAATAGGGTATCAAGTCAATGGCTTGGATAAAGAAACACCTATTAAGTGAACATTGAATATTTTAATCGAAAATTATCCCTAATCAAGGTCATATTTTGTGGACGATTGATGACCATCAGAGATTAGTATGTAGTATGATTTGTAGCACCGTTTCTTGTGCTATGAGGATATAAATCATTTTCACAGGTATTGGTTTAGAACCATACTGGATCGACCTATGAGGATACTTTAAGAGATTTAAAAATCGTCATAAGTATTTTCTCATTATTACTATCGGAACTCTTTTCCTTTGACCATGAGTAGTGGGAGATCTCTTGTTTGAGTACTGGTCCGCTTTGGTATCCGCCAAACGTATGTCGTAACTGGGGATTATAAAGACAGATATCGGGTGGGTGAGTCCTCTTAGTAAGAAAAGCTACATTACAAGACTGGAAATGTCCCCCTACTAACAATAGGGAACATGTCTTGTTGTTTACAAGGCCTCTCGAAGAGCGAGACTGTGAAAAATGCATGGCCGTGCTCAGATGGATTTTAGAAATCATCTGCTTATTAACAGTCAAACTCGGATTTCGAGAAACACTTCTGGACGTAACAGAGATGACTAGTAATCTTACTCTGTAGTTCATGAAGAGACATGAAGAGACATAGGATAAGGGCTATACACTAAATGCACACTTGTCCGGAAGGACAAGTGGGAGATTGAAAGGAATGGTGTCCTTCGAACAAGTGTATTATTCTGATAGCGGGTTCAAAATTATTAGAATGCTAATATATTCAGTAAGGTCAAGTGATCGGAATGCCTGGGTGGAGGCCGCTTCCGATCAGTAATATTAATATAATTAATATTACAGCTTAATCTTGACTGAACCCTTCGGGTCACACCCAAGCAAAATATACGAACCAACTCGACGAATTAACTCGGAAGAAATTAATTCGTCGCCCGAGTGTTAAATATTTAGACGTTAGTAATTCGAGCTTAGAGCGTCGAAACCGATCGTCGGAAGTCGAGTCTAAATGATAAAAGACGAGACGCGCAAAATAATAATAAATCGACCATATTCCCGAAAATACCCCTAGCATCGGAGTGCCCCGAGCATCCGAATGCTAGGGGCAAGACGAGCTAGCGCACCGTGCTGGCAGCCACGGCTAGGCACAGCAGCAGCCGCGCCGCGCCACAGCAGCAACTGGTGCGGGCTGGGCTCGGGCTAGGTGCGGGCTGGGCTCGGGCTTGGCTCGTGGCTTGGCTCGGGCCATAGGGCCATGAATAAGGGGAAGCTTGGAATATGGGAGTAAGTGGGGTTGCCATGTGGCGCAAGGTGAGGGAGAGAGTGGGGAGCAAGTTTGGTCCCCATCTCCAAGTGGTCCTCACCTACTCCCTCATGTATGCTTGACACTTGTTGATTTATTACTAGTTTGCTTAATAATTTTATTTTAGCTTTAAAATAAAATGTGAAAATCTCATTGTCCGACATTGATGGGAGAGATTTTCATACTCTCATCATTCCCTATAAATACCCAACTTGGGGCATTGGAAATGATGCTTGAGTGGGAGTTAAAAAGAGCATTCCATAATTTTGGGAAAACTCTTAAACTCATATAACACTCGGGTTTTGGTCGGACCTTGCTAACCCCAAGGTAGCGGACCTTAAAGTTGTGTTCGCCCTTTTTGTGGGTGGATACCGTCGGAGGCGCGGCGCTTGACGTGCTCGTAGCTTTCAAGTAAGAGCCCCGGTTTTTGGGAGAAGCTCGCTTTGAGGGTAAGATTCATTATCTTTTCTTTGTGATTATTTATTTATGCTTCATGATTTTAATTATTGCGAGTGGTTCCTCGGGTCGGGGTTTGTTTCCGCGGTGAGTCGGACTCACTAAACCCAAACACTTAGTAGATAGTGCAATCTCAGCTAAACGAGTATGCATTATCATTAAGCCATTTGGACAAATGTGGTTTTGAATAGGAACAAGTTCCATCACAGTACATGTTCCTATGTAACACCACTTTTTATGCATTGTAAAATTAGAGAGTTGGTGTAATTAGTTAGCTTTTACAGCTTGGTTACTAGGTAAACTTCAACAATTAATCATGCATTATGTACTTATGAAGAAACCAACTACTACTACTGCAATATTGTAGCCATATAAATTCAGGCTTTTTATGTAAATATAATGCAAAATATTATTATGGTTAGTTAAAACTTCAAGTGTTTTTCTTCTTTGTTGTTCGTAATTATTATTGTTAGTTTATTCTTAGTCATATTGAAGATTATGATATGCTGTTCATAATTCATTACTATTGAAATCAATTACTTTGATATGCTGTTCAGAATTTCCCTACATTATATTATGAGTAATCTTGCTATTATAATTTTAATATCATAAATCTATTTTCATAGTCATATTAAGAGTTCTGTTTAACTCAAGTTTTTAGTCATCTTTATATATTGATTGGTAACAAAAATTAGCTTTACCTTGATTTGACAATTTCTTCATTTGCTAACAACAACATAACTGCTTTTGTAAAAAAAAAAAAAAAAAACAAAAAACATAACTAATATACAGAGTAGTTATTTGCAAGCTATAATTAGTGACTTTTATTTTAGTCTTGTGGTTAGTGTTAAATTCAATCTTATATTAGGGTACCTCAAAATATTGGAATTTATGTTATTTCAGCTTCCGCCTCTTCTTTTATATTGTTTGATTGAGCTTTAAGAATCATCTTTATACAAACTTTAATTTTTTAAGACTGTTGATTATGCTTTATGACTTCAAATTTTTGTTTAGGTATATATTCAATTTTCAGCTCTTATTTTTTGTTGGAAGATCAAATTTACACTAAATGGGAAGATAATCTTTGACATAATAAACAAGAAATTTAAAGCAAGTAAAGAAATAGCATCAACATTTCAAAATACATCATGCTTTCAGAATTTATTAGATAATATATTATTACAGCCTACTTACTTATTTACCTATTACATTTACAAAACACTGACCCCTAATAGACTTACCATAGACTATCATTCAAAGAAAACCCCCTAATAGCCTTTAAATCACTTAAGACTTGTAAAATTCATTCAAAAAACACCCCACCACCAACAAACAAAAAACACCAGTAATGTTTAACTCTCCACAGCCAATTTTTAATCAGGAATTTTCATAGCAAACATGGAAGAGTCTTTGCTTGTTTCTTCATTTGCTTCATGATAATTTCCAGAGTCAGACTTTGCATCACTATCATCATCATCATCGTCGTAGTCATAACTCTCTGACTCGAATGATGCATCTGACTCTACAACATTCTTTTCCTCACTACGAGTTTCGGAATCGGAATTCAGATCGCTTTCAGCATTCTCATCAGTCTCCTCATCTTCCTCCGTATCCTCTTCTTCTGAAGTATCCTCCTCCACCTCTTCTGACTCGTCTGCTTTTTACTCAGCAGCTTTTTCAGCCTCATTTTCTTCTTTAGCATCCTCCCCTTTCCCTTCTGTCTCACCTCCATCCTTCAGATTGTCCTACATTTTGTCACTCTCTGAGTCAACAATGATGACTGGCCATTCTCCGCAGTCATCCCTTTCAACTCCTCTTTTTCTTTTCTTGCTTGATTCACCTTTTTCTTTTTTCCCTTTCTCCACTCTTGAAATTCCTTTTTCCAAAAATTCAAGGTGACTGTTCATCTTCTTCGTCATATCCGTCACATACACACGAAAGCTTGCAACATTCTCTTCCTGAGATTTTGACTGATTGGATCTCCAAATTGGCGGTGCAAATACCCTTCCAGAAGTGGTGGTGCTGTCAGTGCTAGCCATTGTTGCACAGAAAGAAAATAGATTTTTTTTAAGAAAAAAGGAAAGAAATAAAAGAGGATGAAAGGCAGACAAGAGAGGCAGAAGACAATTTATGGACCACGCAATCCAAGTACTTCAATTGATCAATCAAGTAGGAAATTCAACAATCATGACAAAATCTTTAGGAATATAGACCTTAAGACTTCCAAAGTACAACTTTAGAGTACGTGCGTTAAAAAATTCTGAAAATAGAAAATGGCTTTTCATAATCTTCCTTATACGCACAACATTTATACACACTTGTCAATCGTGTAAACAGTTTTATAATTTTACCGAGTTATCGGTTTTTAGACACGACTTACAAAAATTTAAAATTTTTAAAAAGATAATACTCAATTACTAAACCAAATTTTATTCAGTATTAGATAACCCGAAGACAAAATCGGACATAATCCAACTCGATAACCATTTACCTAATGATTGCGTCCCATATCATAGATACGTTCTGTATCAAAGATTCTAAAAATAAAAAATGGCTTCTCATTATCTTCCTTATATGCACAACATTTATACACACGTGTAAATCATGTAAACAATTTTATAATTTTACTAAGTTAACAATTTTAAGACACGACTTACAAAAATTTAAAATTTTTAAAAAGATAATACTCAATTACTGAACCAAATTTTATTCGTTATTAAATAACCCGAAGACAAAATCGATCATAATCTAACCGAATAACCACTTCGCTAATGATTGCGTTCCATATCAATTCTAACACATTTCTTCTTACCAGTTTGTTAAATAACAACAACCACACCAATCTATTTTACCAAATACCGGGACTCCTTAATCCATATCCCTTGAAACCTTCGATTTATCTCAATCCGATATGTGTGGATTGGGCTATCGTGCGCATCGCGCGCGATGGCACAACTAGTATATGTAAATATAAGGTAGGAGACACGCATATTGTGTATGCAAATAAATCTACAACAACTTTTGTGTGTGGATGGTATTATGTATTGGAACATGCACATATTTATGTTGTACTTTTTTTTCCCCCTCAAAATATCACCAAATTTCCAATAATGACTCGAAAAATTTAATACTCGTATATAAATACAAGACCTAACTCAATTTCAATATTCATAAGGCAACGTTTGGGCCACACAATAGTTTAACGATTAAAAAATGCATATCGACAAACGTGCTGAAAGGAAATGAGTAGAACTAAAGGAGAAATTCCAAGTTTCTCAACTTGAGAAACAAATTGTCTCTCAAATGACAAAGTTATTCATCTATATAACCACCACTGGTTTACAAGGTATAAGGGTAAAGTAGCGGTTTTTCCTGTTATATTACTAGTTTAATCTTCTGAGAAACAAAAAACAAGCCTCGAACTAAAGGGAACAAAGGAAATATACGGATAGATCTATATGCACTTGCCACACAAATCACAAAAATAATACTTCGTATATTTTTCACTATTATTATATTCAGAAACACAGTCGTACGAACAGGAAAGAGTATATCAAAATTCCTGCATGAAAGTACACTAGCAAAACGTGTATTTACAACTCTTAAGAACCAAAGTTTTATAGACAACAAATAAGTAGAATCCCTGTATTGCTACCTGCCTACCTCTCAACAAGTCAGATGATCAGTTATTCAACTCCAAATTGATCATTCAAGATACTATCAGATCAGCTCCATTTCTGAGAGTTGGCGGCAGATCCACTCTGAGCAAGAGAGCAGAATTAGGCGCAACTTTGAGATGCAGAACATCAAACAGCTCAGGACATCAAATATCATGCCGGTATCAGGGCAAACGACTAAAAGATGGCTTCAAGCTCAGGACATCAAATATCATGCTGGTATCAGGGCAAACGACTAAAAGATGGCTTCAAAATGTCTCTAATCAACAAAAGAAAAAAACTACTTGCCATTTATATGCTTATTTACATTGAACACATGGTTGCAGGGTGCTTTAAGGATGTACAAAGTGAGCAATTGCAGGACACCCCCCTACAAACCAAATTACTATGATATTATTACTAAGATTATTGTTTTACAATAATAGCAATAATAATAATAGTAAGTAAAATATGTTGGCTCAGTGGTGAGAAGTGTTAGGCTAAAAGCCATTTGGATTTTTACCATTATAAACAATGTTGCCTCAATGTAATATTTTTTTAACCACTTCCACTTGCATGAAACAAAGACCCAATTTTGAGGCCTCGTTTGGTTCATGTGGGAAATAAATTCCTATGGGAAATTCTTATGCATGGGAAATTACTTTCCTTAAAAAATTCATAGGAATTACACAAATGTGTTTGTTTGTCATTGGGAATAAGTAAATCCTAAGAATTGTGATCGATCAAGGGTGGGTTGGGTAAATAATTCGCATGTTTTGTGGGATATTGTAATTTCCATGAATTGTGACTTACTCCATTTTTGCTGTTTAATGTCAACCAAACAAAATGGCCAAAAGAAAATTCATGGATATTTTAAGTGCCTATGGAAATTAAGGGCAACCAAACAAGGCCTCAGAATATCAAATGATTACTCAAATGTCTTAATGAACCATTATCCCCAACAACAAAATTAATCACTTTATATATAAGACTATAAACCAAAACTTTTGTAAGTCTAAACTTCAAATGAGTAAATGGAGGAAATGAAGGAACTCATCATCAATCCAGGGTAAAGAGAGAGGAAATGAAAACACTTATTACCAATCCAATTATTATATGAAGAATTTAAGGGTAGAAAAGCAAGGATTTAGGAGATGCGGTGTCGATATTATATCCATGAAGAGTCAAGGGGTTTTTAATCACTCCATACAAATATAGACTTTAAAGAATTAAGAATAAGATTTTTTTTTTTCAACTTTTTTTTTTTTTCATTTTTTTACTTTACAAGTGGGACTCATGCATGTATTGGCTTCAATACCAACAGTCAACAGATGTGTAATCCATTTGTAAATTTCATTAGATCCCATGCACCAAAAAGAAAGGAACAGAGACACCATAATGAGAGCTTGCAAACATACCTTTGTCTAATTTTTATACTTCCAGTGCCAATCTGTGCCGGTATGCCCATGATGATACGTTCGCCTACTCCTTTGATCTCATCCTTCCTCCCATGTACAGAACCGTTAAAAAGATGGAAGTCTGTCTTCTCAAATGACGACAACGTCAATACACTTTCTTTCATTTCTGCCATACCATATCTTGTAACTCCCAAAACCTTCCCCTATACCAAGAAAGTGAAAATATTATAATAATCCCTTTTCAACATTTGCACAGCAGTTGAGATTCTTGCATTGAAATTAATGAAAGCAAGAATTACCTTAAGTGTCATCGCATCAGCAAGAAGCATCATATGCCGTGTGTCTACATCCATTGCATTACTTTTCAAAACTTTATGTATCTCTTTAATGATACAGCTCCTTGCAGCTTCTATTCCAAGTGTTTGTTGCACTTCCATTACATGATTGCTTTCTGTCTTGCACCCTTTGATTCCACAAATTCCCATCACCTCCCTGAGACCAGTTCTGTCATATCAAAGTACACGGAAAGTTCAGTGACATTTTCTGGGTTAGATAGAACAAAATTTCATGACTTTTATTTTAGGACTTGTTTTTGGATTCTCCCAATTGGGGGGTGATTTTAGGTCTCACAGAGGGGTGAACCCCCTCCCATGAGTTTTTTGCACTAAAGTAACCATATGATTTTTTTTTTTTTTATTCCTTTCAGATGAGTCCTCTGAACTTCTTGATCACCATATCCGAATGAAAAGCTACTGCATTTTAAATTTTCTTGCATGCACTTTAAGTCTAGGTGATATTGAGAATTTGAGCTATTCAGTGGAGTATATCCTAGAAGGGCGCTGCTTTATACTGTTAAAGTAGGCAGAGTATTAATATTAAGAAGGGCGCTGCTTTATACTGTTAAAGCAAGATCTTCAAGTAACCCAAAAGCAATTACTAAACTGTAATACAGAAGAAAGTATAGGCTCTATATCATTCTAGATTTCCAGATTTAAACATACAGAAAATTAAACTCCTCCTCTTTACTTCCCGACTAGCTAGAATTCTACACATTCTTCCACTAAGATTACTAACCTCACCCCCCCCCCCCTTTGAGCTTGATGCTAATGAAATTGTCATTGGACCAACTCATTGATGTGTTATTTCTTTTTTTTACTCCCTCTCACTAGTTTACTGTATATATATATTTTTTCCATTTCTGTTATTTCTTAGAGAAAGTTGGGGAGAGGGGAGCTAAACAAATAGTTCAGTAGATAATGAAAAAACCAACCCTTCAACAATCAAATTGAGCTTCCCAATTTTCCCTCCATCGTCAGCAATAATTGCACGTTCAACTGTAGATATGCCCTGGAGACAAAAGGCATTAGTAAATTCAAACAATTAATCCAGTAAGCATAAAATGAAAAACAAAAAGCCGGGAGAATAGAAAAAGAAAAATTGCAATAGCTAACCGTAATCCTTCTTATTCTCACCTTAACAATAACCATGGGCAGCTTATTCTGCAACTGGTGGAGAGGAAAATATGCACCTTTAATATCTTTACCCTTAAGCTTGACAGACAGCTTATAATCATTAACAACTTTTACTTCCTGCACATAGTTATACATTAGATGCCAACAATTAACAATACATCATATTGATGAAAAAGTAAATTGTTTCACCATCTCGTGATCCTTTGGTGCTATCAGAGATTTTAAAATCTTGCCCTTAACAATACGAGCATCAATAAACAGCTGTGAAGAATTGATTTGCTCCGCATCGAGTTTAATAACTATAGATGCTCCATCATATTTCATTACCAACATTATACTCTTGGAAACCTGCAAAATTTCAAGTGTAATCAAACAACAAAAAATAGAATACAGATTTAAGGTCAACAACACATGATCTTTCCATACAAGAAAACCTTTGCAGCAACATTTGACAGGAGCAAAGCATGGAGATGTAGAACTTTTGGGAAGAGGAATAAGGTTCTATGCTTTTGAAAAAACATGTTAAAACTAACAATCTAATATCCTTCATATCAGCAACATAATTGTATATTTGAAGTGGTAACAAAGGCATCAGAATAGTGAAGGAAACAGATTCATAGAAATAAGATATAATCACAAGAATAATGGTCAAGGCTTGGTACTAGATCTCTCTCTGGCTGAATTTGAGCTTATCACTTGGCACCAAAGGAAACACGTTCCAGGCTTCCAGCCCAGCACCATAGTAGATCTGCTATCTTTTGGTAAAGTTAAGAAAATATTGCCTACATTTCCAGTTTTGGTAAGAGTTAAGAAATTATCCTATAGAAATCAACAGTCTAACCAAATCCATCATGTTTAAAATAAAATTCTCTGTTTAAAAGTTCCTTTAGATTTTAACAATTAGTCATTTAGTTGATATATTTTAGGAAATTGTCAGAAAGGCAGCAGTTTAGCTACAGCCCTATAGATGCTATAGAAAAGTGGAGATATGGTAATGTAAGGCTCAGACATGTTGATAAACACTTGAATGTTTAAATGCTTGTACGTGGGTGAAGAACTTCAAAAAAGTAGGTCACTTAAACAGTAAGACTCAAGCACAAGAACAGATTACAGCGGGCAAAATCCATACTAAAATTTAGAATAAACCATACCTGACCCAACATTGTCTTCTCAATTTTTCCTTTTACAATCTTTGCGATCTCCATACTTTTCTCATCCTTGAGTTTTGCCATAATTATTGGAGTGCTTATCTTTTTGTTTGCATTTATAATTTCATTGATACGTGGAACTCCAAGGGTGATATATACATGTAACTAAGGATTTGAACAAGCACGTAGATGACAACCTATATGGGAAAAATAAAAGCACAAATTAACAAGGGATACTCATCATGCTGGCAACTCCAGCAAAATGAAAGGTTTTTAACGTCATTTGTGTCCCTGGCTCCCCAATACTTTGAGCTCCAATTGCTCCTACTCCAGTTCCAGATTCAATCCATTTTGATTGAAGGCGAGAGATACAGTTGTCTAAGAAAACCTTTTGTATTGATCAACAACCACATATAGGATCAGTGTTTCTAATCACAAATGTACTAAGATCAACAGAAGTATTTTGCATAATATGCAAGAAAAAGAAGGAACTGCCAACACAAAATTTATAGAAATGGCACTTATAAAAACAAAAACAAGAAAGGCAGCAACACAATTTTCTTTTCCAAATTCCCTAGACTATAACAGAGACATGGCACTATTGCATTTGAAGGCCAATATGCATTACTATAAAGATTTCCACATGAAATCATATTCCAGAAATAGAAGAGTAAGAAACTGGATATTACATATTTTTTAGGGAAATTGGATAATACATATTTGTTGTGTACTTGTACGGGCAAATTCTACAATCGTAGATCTAACTATATTTTAACGCATGCCTAATGTTTCATGTGATGATTTATCTAAAAAATCAAATGCTAGGAGCTGCTCAAAATTTAACACTTTACTACAACTGTACAGTAGCCTAAAAAAAGAGGGGGGGGGGATGGGGGGACATGTAACTATGATGTAAATAGCCTAAACCAGTCAACCCTCAAAAATCCATAGCTCTATTTCTTTTCCAGGTACCATTTTCTACACTTCAAGTCAGTCTCTTTTGATCCTTCTTTTCCAAGTCCCAAGAACATTCTATGCAAAACAAAATTGCAATTGAACTCATCCCAAACAGGACTAATAATAGAGAATAAACCAACAAAAGGGTCTAAGTTGATTAATGGATTCCTCTTCCTTATGAAACAAAGTACAACAGCTTATACAAAAAGCATTATTCCTGATTCTAGTCGGGATGATGTTCTATCTGTGAAGGTAATGCATAAAGTTGTATGCAATCTACACACTAGCTAACTCTAGTTCAAACACCAACATTGATCCTTGCACCTTTATACACAAAATCACAAAACTTATATATTCCATTGAAAGGAACAATCACACATGTCATGTCTCATAAAATCTGAAACTGATAAAATTTATTATACAAAAAAAAAGGCCCGATGGTGCAATAATGTTTCCTCTGGCCTCTGCCCAAAACTCCTCAAACAAGTCCAAATAGCAAATTCCTACCTAAGGTCAGACATGGGATAGAAAGAGACCAATGCCAATAGTACTAAGAATGTCACCATGAGATGCTTTCCATAGAGGCCTATGCACTAATGCACCTAGCAGCACACTTTTATATAACCTGTTCTTTCCAAGATCATAATATTCATTGATCCTACACAAATGGCTAAATAACCTAAAAGGTTTTCAAATGGTGATTTTTCAATCCCCAAATTCATTAAAAAAAAAAAAACTACAAGTTGACTCTTTAAAGGCAAGAGTAATTCCATTCGAAAAGAAAAGTAAAAATGCAATGTAGTTTATGACAAATTATATACGTCAAACGAGCTGCAAATCCAAATTTTAAGATCATTGTTGACAGAGTTATGAGAAAGCTTGATTATATAGATGAGTATACAAAAGTATTTGTAATACAAGATTCGAGTAAAAAACATCACAAAACTACGACTAGGTAGTAGGTACAATATATGACCGGGTACATTAGCTAATAATAAGGGATATACTTTGACTATCAAAGTTAGGAGTAGAGCAAGGGATTACAAACTATAAACAATAACCAATAATGATACGCTTGTAGGCGTAAAGTAGGATTTTGCTCATACAAATATACAATTAAATAACACCACAGACATGCTTTAAGTCCTTACTGGGTACATTACCTAGTAGGAGTAAAGTAGGATTTTGCTAATACAAATTTACAATTAGATAACACAAAGACATGCTTTAAGTCTTACCTCTTTGCAGTAGCTTTAGACTAGTGAAACTGCTAATTCAGTATAAGATACCACGGATATCCTATTGGCGGAGGTTATTATGCTTGGAGTTAATGGTTGTTGAATCAATATAGAAAAAAGTTACAAGTAAAGCTAGGTACACCAAAGTGTCATTAGAATTGAGAGGGGACCAAGCAAAAATGTAGTAAATTAGATGGTAAGGAGTTACCCAAACTGAGTATGTTAAGCTCTTTAGATTGATTTTACAAAGAATTGAAGACATTTGCCAACCATAACTTACCTCTAAGGACTAAGATCAAAAGGATAATTCTAAAAGATGGCCATCATACAAATATTATTATAGAGTCTGAATGTTGGGTGTTCAGGTTGGATCATGTTAAATATGAGTATATCAGCAATGACTACATTGAGATGGATGTGGGAACTACCTACGGGATACAATTCAGTATTAGTATTTTTTTGAAACAGTATAATCCCTCCCTCTCATAAAAAACTTCACCCTTGCTTTTCCAAAATCAAAATGATTAATCTTAAACCATTGTTACCTAAATTTGTGTATAAATAAAGTCACCCCAATAAAAATTATAGTAATAAATAAATAACTAATGAACTAAATTAGATATAAAAAGAAAAAAAAAAAATATATATATATATATATATTGGCAATTTGCACAATGAACAAGGAGAGTAAAAGAGAACGTGCATGGATGAGATCCATGGGGCCAGCTTATAAGAAAAATTCAGTTAATGATGATGTAATTCAGGATAGTAGTAATAGCAGTAAAAGCATTTGTATGTGGATGTGGACTGTGGTATAGAATACTAAAGTAGTCTATCTTGTTTCTCATCAACTGCTACTCTGTGGAATATATCCTTTAAGTGATCCCCCTTCCCCTTGTAGGGCTTTTCATCCTCTATAGATACACTGTTTGATTACCGAATTTATTTGTTTTAAATTATTAGAAAAAATACCTTTAGCTGCTTTATAGATACACAGCACCTTCTTTGGCCCAGTTTTTCGAAGAACTCCAACAACTTCTTCTTAAAGGCATCAGACCCAGCACCGTAAGAAGTCACATCATCTTTTGAAAGCCTTTTATTTATAATTTCAGAAATTTCTGAAGGAGATAATTTTTCACTTCTTCCAGCAGGACAAGTAGCCTGTATAAAATTGGCAGATTAGGGAACTGTCACCAAATATCAATAAATTAGAATGAAAATTCAGATATCTAAGCTGAAGCCAAAGAGCATACCTCCACTTTCAAGTGCAATCTCTCAAAATCCAGAGGAAACCCTTCATTTCCTTCCATTTGAGACGGATCCATTCCATCATCACCATACAAAAATTGAATGACAAATCCACTAGAATTTCGTACAGTCATGTCATATTGAACAACTAGGTCCTCTAAGCATTTAATCAGTCTACGAGACATATAACCAGTTGTAGCAGTTTTAACCTGTGAAATTTTCCAAATAACTAGGCATCAGCATAAATAAATGCCATTGATATGAAGTGATAAGTGCACTGGAAGATTTTACAAGATTAAAAGAAATGAAAATGCTAATCATGCACCACAGCTAATTCTTATAAGTGATCAAAAAATCATCTTTCACCCAAGGAAAAAGAGTATGATACACTGAAAAAGGATAAAAATATCTTATGTAAGAAATATCTCTCTGTCATCAAGAATTTCTCATGTATTACAGTAAATCTGTTTTTCTTAGAGTTTTTCAACAAGACTGATTCTTTTACAATAAACTCAGTATGCCTTATTTAATTGATGGTGTCTACTACTAAAAATGTTATATAAATTTTCCTCTAGCTCTTACTGTTTAGATGTAGTAAATTTAATTACTTTCTGGATTCATGGTCTCAACTGCTGCTTTGCCATTCCATGGGTAATGGCTATAGCCAACAAACCGCTCTGTAAATATGTAGATCAGGCTGCATAATTTCACCCCTTACAAAGTTCACCCCAAACAGGAGTTACTTTGAGGGTTTTTTCTTTGTATTATTTTTTATTTCCCAGAAGTCTCCTTAGGGTTGCTAAGATAGTGGTATACTGGTATATATGGCATTTGAATAGACCATGCGTTAGGCTTGAGAAACAATGGCTCTCATTAGTCATCTTAGAAATAAACCAAAAAACAGCAGTATGGTTACTTAAGCATAGAATAAACTAATAGACCTAAACCCACAAACATCACTTCCCTTGGGAAAAACAAAATTAAACTGAAAGCTTCAAAGATAACATCCAAAAAAATATATTGGGAAAAAACCATATAAACCAGAAAGGACATACAGCTGTATCTACAAGACCTTCTCGTCCTCCCATTGTATGGAAAAAGAATTCAGTAGCTGTCAAGCCAGTGTAAAATGAATTCGCAACAAATCCCTTAGCCTGTATATAAATTAGATGAAAAAAAGATTATCATATATGAAACAAAATGCACTATCGTTACAATAATCTAGCACATTGAGGTTTTAAAATAAAATGGTAAGAAGTGCTTCATATGTAGTATACAAGTTTGAAGAAAAACAAGGAAATCTTGGCATTATAAATCCCATATTTGAGGTGTCTACACTTAAATCCTAAATTTGAGAATAACTTTCCCAAATAGGTCACAATGATTTTCTACCTCTATCAAACAGATCAACATAAGTGACATGGTTTTTCATATTGGTTCAGGCATCTACAATTTTTTAAGTATTTTTTTTATTGTCTCCAAACCCCACACTCTTTTCCTTAGACATAAGAATGTTTAGGAACCCCAGCTTTTCACTTGTTTCAAAATAGCATGGACCAACTACATGTATCCTTTTTGCATTCACTTGAAGAGAACAAAAGACTATATTGAAAGATAGAGGATAACAATATATGTACAATATTTTTTCAAACACATGTCCTCAAACCATATAACTCCGTGCATCGTCCCTACTTTTCTCTTGAAGATAACAAGAAACTACATCAAAAAAAGAAAAAAAAAAAAGAGAACAAAAGGGATGACAACATAAATGCGTACAAACTTTTTCTCATGATCCTCAAACCATGTAACATTGCAAAAACAATGCAAAGAGCAAAAGTTCAAGATGAACTGAACAACAAGATAAACTTAAACATACCTCAGGGGCCTTGGATTTTCTATGAAAATGTGGCAGACTGCATTCAATGAAGCCATCTGGAGCTCGACGGTCTCCAACTGCTTGCTGACCAACACAGGCAACCATTTGGCTAATGTTGATTGGTGAACCTTTTGAACCACATTGTGACATTATCAAGGAACTGTTCCTCCAGTGAAGCTCTTCCATACAAACCTAGATACCACAAAAATATAAAAATAATCAGCTTGAAGTGCTTCCTAAATCATTAGAAAATAAGCAATCTTGATCACTTGCTTTACTCTCTCCTTCCAAAAAAGGTGAAGATAAAAAGAGATGATAGAATTAGATATCTCGTGAAAATTATGTCTTCAGAATATAATGGTATCAACTGGATCCAGAAAAGGCTTTGTACATGTTTACCCAGCTTTCAACATGTATGAAATCCTATTACAGACCATAGGAGAATATTGCTAACCATTGTTCTTATTGTAGCCAATCGACAGGAAGTTACCAAGCGTAAGAATTAGATGTGAGAAACATGAGAGGGCTTAAGCACTAATATTATGAGCTAGGTGGATGCAACAGTACATGAGAGGGTTTCTCTTCTTTTTTGAAGAGGTGAGGTTATCTATGGTAACGTGTATTGACTAGTGATTACTAAATATGAATACGTTCACGTTTCGCTCTGCCTGTGTATGTAATTGGGGGGGGGGGGGGGGAGGGAGCATTACCTTTCCCGCTGCTTCACGCATGCTATTTAATTCTCCTGTTATTTTAGCCTCTAGAGTTTGTGCAGCATCAAAGCCAGGCATGAGAGACAGCTTTCCCTCACTGAAGGACTTTATTAGCTTATCACATTCTCCATTTGATATAATGCCTTCCTTCCGGTGAGTCAGATTTTTTCCAGGTTGGACATCATCAATGCCGATCGAAAACCCATGATTACCAATCCACCTAGCACTGTCGGGAAGAAAATAACAGAATATTACATTTAGGCAGAACTAGAAGATGCTTGTTGAGACCTTACACAATGAGAACAAATATCCAAGCACATGAAGAGATTGAATAGGATGACAGAAATGACAATAACAGCAAAGATGATGCTAAATAAGTAAAAATTATAAAATCAAGCCATGCTTATTTTCACTAGACAAGAATTGTTTTCACTATCCTAATCCAAAAATAGATTAATAAATAATGATTACGGCATTAGACCTATACCAAAATTATTATTGTTAAAACTATTTAATTTAGTTTGATCAGATCATAAAAATTTGTCTGATTTGTCTAGGATTTATGTATTAGCTTATTTGCATGTACTGTAATATAAGATTTAGTAAGAACTACCACCCAGCCCACAATACCCTTTAGACTGACTTATGCAACATATGGACAAAAAAAATGAAAAAGGCAGCTTGAGATGATAGTGGGAATATTGCCTTGGAGCAAAAGCTGGTGGAATGCAGGGAAGGGGAATGAGAGTCATCTTTGAAATATATAGAGGGTGTGGAAAGCAATAGTAATCAGAGGATTATTTTTCCTTTTTCATATATTTTCTTATTAAGACTACCAGCTACTCATACATGATATGGGATTATGGGTTATACGTCAAAACGGATGATTATATCATCTTTTATACCTACTATGGGCTATTTAGCCTCACACTAGCATTTTTTCACTATTCCATTAATTTCCAGATTTCATCTATAATGAAGTTATATTAAAAAGCGTGATACATAATTTTCTTTCATTTTCTTCGAAGTGATACCCACTATTGGTAATGGAGGTAGAATCATTCAGTTGTCGAAATTGTGCACATTTAAATGCATATTACTTGAAAATCTGAAATGATGAAAATGAACACAATCCATCATCTGCTAGATAATAAAATGAAAGAATAGTACTAGCCTTAATTTTGCCAGATGATTCATGCAAGCTGCAGCAGCATATGCATTATAATCCCGAAGAAGAACAGAGAAAAGACCAACTTTATTACCATTCCCTGACAATTTCAATAAACGGCTTGATTATTCATGTAAGAGCATAATAATAAAAAGATAAGGGGATTTAGAGACGGATTCTTACATAAGAGTTCAAATAGAAACAAGAGTGACCTCTTTAAAATTAAAGAAAGGCTTCAAAGTAATGTGATCAAGACCAATGGAACATACAGTAACAAATAGCCCAATCCCTAAGCCAAGCTCCAAAAGAAGCAAAGTTACAGAAACTGCCACCATAGGCAATGGCACAAACATGAAGGAAACTCATGTGATGATGAGAGAAATAAAGAGAGAGACATAAAAATAAAAATAAAAAAAGGGTACATGTGATAAGGATAGAGATTTACATAAACCACAAGCCAAAACAATATATGTGTAAATTATTTAAAGCATCCAAAATCAGGAAGTGTAGCATTTATTTGAAAATGTTGAGATATCATCTATCTCTAACTCTAAGGCACCATTTATCGTGACTTTGATACCTACAACATAAAAGTGGTGGGATACAGTCATACGGAGTTTAGATATACAGTGTGATTCTACAACTGCATAGACATTGTTTCCAACGAGACCTTCAATCTGAAAGATAACTGAGTAATGCAAAATAGGACCATTCAGCAAAACACCAAGACATTTGACTTGGTCTATGAAGTTGATAACTTGTCTATCATAGACTTTCAACTTTGTTGCAAATGGATGACAAATACAAACACCAAATAGTGGCTAAACCACAAAAGATCATCAACCCAAAGATACTTAAATTTAAAAACAAATCCTCATGGTTTGCAACATCAACGTTACGTTCATGCCTCCATATAGACTCCCACCTAGAGAGGTCATATATAAACAAAATAACGAGGACTAAACACGAACTATCATAATATAATAAATAAATTATCAAAAAAAAAGTGAAGAAAAACTATATACTCACCTAAGGTAGCTTTTCCTAATTGTCCAGATATCAGCTCACTATTGCGAAAATAAACAAAACCATCATTCGGACACATGGTTTCCTCTCTAATACCCGTCTTTCTGTCTTCAACTCTGGAATAAATCTTCTCTTTTACAGTAAGATTAACAAATACTTTCATTTGCACATGTGGGCACAGCAAAACATCAAATAGCTGTTTACCAGTCCAGAGCTCAATTGGCTGCAACAGAAACACAAGATTTAAATCAATAAGCACGGTGAAGAATAATTAAAGCATGATTAACCGTTTCAATTACCACAAAAAAGATAGAAAGATTCAGAAAAATATCAGAGTCAAAATATCCCGCAACATAGTCAATCAAGTGATCAACTATAATCTTGATAGCTCTTTTGTGAAGGAAAAACCCAGCAAATCTCATAATATAATTCAGAATGGCCAGTAAATTTTAAACATTTTGCAATAATATTTGAGAGCTTGGACTTCTGGGAGAAATTATCAAAATGCCCCATATAGCATCTCACGGGGAATTGAACACCTAAACAGAAAGCCATGAAAGTGTCTCCTTTTTGTTTGACTAAACATGCTTTTTTGGAGGCTAGCAACTATTAATTAAAGAAAAAGAAACATGGAGACAATGAACTAAGAAAGGCTGGCATTAATATAGTTGGTAGAGAATTAAGCAGAGCCTTTTCTAAACTCCTTCCTCAGCTTACTATTAGAACACAGGCTGCTCTTTATGGGCACAAACTCAGCCTTAGAATTGATCATCTCAATAGCCTTAGGCTCGCTTCCCAAAAATCCTGTTCCACAAGGGTTACAAGACTTACGACTTACAAGTGGACCTATTTTCTTTTTCTTTTTACACCTTCATTATAAGGCCCTCGGAAAATTAAGAACTTCAACCTCATTAAATAGCCATTGCTTTCAACCTCCAAACAAATATGACAGCAAATTATGTGAATAAAAAATCAAAACCAAACCTTGATCAATGCTGGTGTTGGCAAATCAATCACATCCATTCCATCTCCCATGTAGGTGCAAATAAGAGAAAACGCTGCACGATCATAAAATGTATACTTCCTTGTAATGAGAAATGACGACGTCAAAAAGTCTTGAGTCGAAGCAACTAAAATAGTTCCATTTTTAGGAGTGCATAGATTGTTTTGCACCTGCAATTAAATTTTATAAAAATAATGCATTAATAGCAAACTGCCCATTTTCTGCTATGCGCCCATGCCCACATAATATACTAGCACCATTCCTGAAAGTTTGGCCACTTACTATTCATAACAGTCAAAATAAAATATTCTTGACTGCATTTAATGAATAATATAAAAGAAACAAAACAGCATGTAGGATGTAAGAATAAAAGTTTAAAAAGGGTGAAATGGTGTAAGAATAAGGTGGATAAAGTAAGAGAGATCGAATAAAATAGTGGGTGGGACTAAAAGATAGGTGAATAAAGTAAGAGGGAGTGATCAAAAAGATGTAAATATTGTGGAGTAAGGGGGTGGGGGGTAAAGTATTAATATGGGGCCAATTGACCATATTGGTATATAAGTTAACACCCTTATGACATATTGGTATATAAGTTATTGCCGGCGACATATTGGTATAAAAATTAACATGTGGCGACATATTGGTATATAAATTAACAAATTGTGACATTTACCCCTATTTTTTCTTCGGATGAAAGAGCGTGTTGTATACTTCAAAAATTTGTTTTAATTACTTTTGCAATCTTATTTATTATCATAATATACTTATTCAGCACCAAATAATAATTTTTCCCTCTTCCCTTCCAATACAATAACTTTTTGATAAATCAATCAAACGATAAAACCCCAAAGAAAATATAATAAAAAAAAAAAAAAAGAATCTACCCTTGTGATGCTTCAATGACCAATGCCCTCAATACATTCAAGCTTAAATCCCTTTGCTCAAGCTTTCCTATTCGTTTTCCCCTAGCTTCTTTCTCATCACTTTTGGGCTTTCAACTTTTTTTTTTTTGGATTTTTACTTCATAATTTTTTAAAATTAATATAAAAAGTAGAGAAAAGTAAAAAAAAAAAAATAAACAAAATGTCAAATAATAGTTATTAGCACTAAAATTAAGCGCGTGTATCATACGCATATCCTCCGACGAGAAAATAGGGGTAAATGTAGCAATTTGTTGACTTATATACCAATATGTCGCCACATGTTAATTTTTATACCAATATGTCGCCGACAATAACTTTTATACCAATCTGTCATAATGGTGTTAACTTTTATACCAATATGGTCAATTGACCTAACAAAAAGTGAGTCAAACTTTGTAAAACAAACCAAAACAAAAAGTGAGTCAAATTATCAAGAACAGAAGAAGTGTCATTGTTCAAAAAAAAAAATAATAATAATAATAATATAAAAAAAATTAAAAAAATTCAATTTGAGACTGCTAAAATCATGAGGAATTTGATATTTCATTCACAACTTAATTCAAGAAGAATCTACTTATGGGGCATATGCCTTACAGGTTAGTGATAAACAGTGTATAATATTGGAAATCAAGTTTACCGCCATCAACGTTAAAGCCTCTGCTCTAGCCTCTTCATTTTGTGGGATATGAATATTCATCTCGTCACCATCAAAATCAGCATTGTAAGGATTGCAAACAGATTCATTGAATCTCAACGTTTTCCATGGCATTATTCTAGCCTACAAACATTCCATTTATGAATCAATACGGGATTATTGGGCATTTATTACATAATTTTTTTTAAAAAAAAAGTTAGAAATTAGCCTTCACCCTATGGCACATCATAGACATCCGATGCAAACTTGGTTGCCTGTTAAAAAGAAGAACATCACCATCTTCCAAGAAACGGTGAACTATGTCACCAAAATTCAGTCCATCAGCTATTCTTTTTCTATTACCAAATGACAAATCCCTGCATGGAAGCGCAGACAACCTCACCAGTCACTAGGATATTCCAAATCCAATTACAGTTTATACAATTTGCATGGTTTTCAGAAATGCTTACCTCTTATCACCATTGGATTCTACTACAAACTTTGCACCTGGATTCTTCTTTGGCCCATTTCGCACACACTGCTTCAATTTTTCTATGTTGTGATGGTTGACAAGCTCGGGATAAGTCAAGATTGTTGCCATTAGTTGTGGAACTGCAACCTGCAAGAAACAATTGTCATTTTTGTCTAGTTTGTATCACATAAAAATTAATAAAGAATCAACAACTAGCTGCAAAGTAGAAGTTATATATAAAAAAAAAAAGATCTAGACCTCTGTAATTTTCAGATTAGGATCAGGAGATATGACAGTCCTTCCAGTGAACTCAACACGCTTCCCTGACAGGTTTTCAAGAAAACGTCCTTGTTTTCCTTTTAAGCGTTGAACAAACCCAGACAATGGTTTTGTAGATTGTAGTGAAGCAACACGAACATCGCTGTTTATGTATTGAGCAACTTCAACTTGAAGATAATTCCAGTCATCCTGAACAAAATTTAATCAGTACAAATTCAGATATGCCAACATGCTTACATGACCAGTTCCCTACTTCCCTGGAAATGATAAACCCATTTCTTCCACCAAAATTAAATTTTAAACTAAAATTGCAGAACACCTTGATTAATAAATCACAAAACTATCACTAAGGTAATTTTTCAACATCAAAAGTAACGGAAAGTTTTCCAATTACAATTTTACTAAATAGTCCTTTATTGCTTGTTTCGGGTAAAGTAGCTAAGACATCAGTTTCCCTATAAACTAAGAGTTAAGAAAAAAAAATGTCTTAGCAGCTTTAAAACATCGTACAAACATTTAGAATATCACCCTCCCTACCCTCCCCTCCCCCCTACCCCCTTCCCTCTTTTCTCCCAATCCAAATCTTGCTACATGCACCATATTGCTACATGGAAGCATGTCTTAGTGAGATAATTAAGCCCCCCATTTTTAGCAGAATTCATTGCATTGCTGTCCATTTTTAGCAGAATTAAGTTTTTTAATTTTTGGGAGATGACAAGAATACAAGAGACAATTAAGATGAATATTTCTATCATCCAAATGTCAGAAGCTTTGTATTGAGTAGTAAATTTTGTGCTTTACATAAGCAGCTTTATGTTTTAGGAAATCAAAGGATATATATATATATATATATATATATATATATAAGCATAAGAAGGCCAGGATTTCTCTGGAATGAAAAATTAACAAACTATAAAGCATTCCAGAGTATCTAAGTATCACTGACATAAGCCAGGAAACACATTTCCATAGGAAAAAACTACAAAGAGGCAAGAGAACCCACTCTGTCCCACTACGTCTTCCTGCTAGAAGTTCTTCCCTGAAATGTCCAACCATTTGTTTCCAATCACAATACCAAAAAAAAAAAAAAAAAAAAAAAAAAAAAAAAAAACTTTTTTCTGAATCTAGCTTCAAAAAACATTATTGTACATAGGCTTTGATCATAAAATTTAGATAGCTACAGCAACAAAATTGGAATATGGCCAGGCCAAGTTCAATGAAACTCTTTTTATTTGTTTGTAACCATTAGCTACTTAAAGTCATTGAAGCTCATAATGAAAGGCTTTATGCCTTCATGTACCTATTTCATAGTATTAGTTACAATACAATTCAGATCCTGAACATGGAGAACTGATCCTCGTCAAAATAACAGCCTAATTCTAAGAAGAGCATTTTAAAAAAAATTACAATTATCTCACCAGAAAACGAAGGCCGTCATATGAATCTTCCATTGTCTGACGAAGGCAAGCATTTGCTTGAATAATTCTCTTTAGCCTCTCAGTAATGGGATTTTCATTGCTGCAAGGGTTGATAATGCAGGTTAACTGTATAAATAAGCCTGAATTGAAATGCTACTTGACTGCAGAAGGGACCCCTTGTCCAAAAATTATGGGAGAAACAAAAATTAACGGCAGAAAAAGGCATTGTAACAAATATATAAATCCATAGATCCAACCTTAAAGTTCCTCCATCCACAAAAATGGAAGGACGAATGGCCACTGGAGGAACTAATATGTTGGTAAATATAAGCTTCTCTGGTCTATCAGCAAGACAGAGTAGCTCACAGTCCTGCAAGTTTTTTTTTTTTTAAAAAATATACATACATAATTTAGAACAAGTTTGAAACCTTTATTCATCAAAAAGACTCTAAGAAATTAAATTGATTTATTGCAGTCCTCACCCTTTGTTTCACAGTTAGTATACTACTTTCTAATTCAATTAAATTCAGTTGATTACCCTAAAAGTCAGCTCTCAGATGAGTGCAAGTATGTGTTCTCTTTTACTTTTCAATAAATGTCATGGAAAGTCAGAAGGTCAATCACTCCAAAGATAAATGGAAGCAGCAACATATTATCAAAACATTCTTTCATTTCGGATAAAGCTTGTATATACTAACTCGAAAACTTGGAGCTTAATCAAAAGACTAAAGAATCTATGGCTCTGTGCACCCTAGAATAAGGCAACATAACCACTTCGTAAGAAATAAATAACTAGTTTCCTAAACCAAGTAAACTTCCAAAAACCAAATACCTAAAATTATATTAGCATATATACATATACGAGACAAAATGTGTCAGGCACATAAAGACAAGATTTCACCTGATCCAACATTTGGTTGAATAAGAAGAGTGCATCATGTGGATGTATAATATTACAAATGGATGTTTCTCTGCCTTCATCAACACTATTCTGATTTTGGGAACAATGAACTACCGCCAATGGTGAAGCACCCTTCGTCACTTTTCCTGAAAAATATAAAATTAGCTGGAAACTATTAGTGAACCTTCCCCATAGAAAAAGATATCATCTATCCATCAACACTTAAAACAAGTAACAGATAATAATAATCATATTGCAAAAGGTGTAGAAACGAAACACCCATTTGTGAACGCAAAAAAGCAAACAGCACCCTATCTTCTAAGGGTCGAATGTGCTTTAGGGGTATGCCTTTGTGGATAATTAGTCTTTTATGAGTTAAGACCTTTGATTACCAGATTGCAGATTTAATACAAAAGAAGTTTTACAAAAATTAACATTGAATAAAGCAGGCTGCACAACAAGAGTACTTAGATAAATTATTGACTCTGCCTTGAATCACAGTTGGAGATTAGACCTGATTAATACCTTCAGTAAATTACTAAGTAGCTATTCATATGCTAAACTAATCTAGGCTTGCTTAGAGTGCTATGCTAGCTCTAGACTTAGAAAAACCAAGGAACATAATTCATTTTTTTAAGGTGTTGTGTATTTTCTACCGAGAACCCTAAATTACAAAACTGCTCTTGATGGGACTTTCGTACCAATGACTTTTTTTTTCCGACTGGAATATAACATATCCCAATTTGGGGACAGTGTCAAAAGTCAAATGAGATGTTTCAGAGCCAAAACCTACATTTGGGAGAACTTTAAATATCTTGGTGAGTTTGTATGTGTATGTGGGGACTGGGGAGGAGGGGGAGGAAGGGAATGGGGGGCTTGTGTAAAATATCTAAGCAAGTTAGAAGAACTTTAAATATCTTCGTGAGTTCGAGGGGGGGGGGTGTATAGAGAGGAAGGAAATGAGGGCTTGTTTAAAATATCTAAGAAAGTGCAATCGGAAGCCTTTAACTAGTCGAATGTTACCTTGAGGAGGTAACAAGATTACATAGTATATCCTAAAAAAAAATGTTTCCAAGAATCCAGGAAGCATATTATACATTTTCTTCGGGTGTAAAAGAGTATAATGGGGAAAAAATCCCTTTCAGAAGATAATTTTCTCAGTATCTGTTTGGTCGGTCACAGTAGTTGCTACTTCACAAACAATTAAGACTGCAAAAGACCAATGTACAAAGAGGGAAAAGCAGGGGGAGGGAGACAAAGATACAGATATTAAACGTACACAAATAGACAGAAGTGTATCCACTCTTTTACAAGCTAGGGATGAAGGATCATACCATTCACATGTCCGCATCTGGAGCAATTTATTTTTTTTAAGTTGGAAAACCTCTTCATAATCTTTTTCTTCATATCAATTTTGTGCAATACATCAGCTTTCCTCTTCTTTTTCAAATATTCTAGACGATCTTTCTCAGGTAGCAGAATACGTGAACAAGACTGACAGAAAAAGAACAAGTATATAAATTTGATATGAAATGCATGACAAGGAATCAAATAAAGATTTACGTACAGAGACGAACAAGAAAACTATAATAACATATTTCTCTGTATATCTTGCTGGACCATCATCGTGACTACATTATCACATGCGCATGCGCTCACACACACAAAGAGCTGAAATAAATTTTATCATCTTGCTAATGAGTAATTCCCGTTCATACTTCTTCTTGAAAAATTTAAAAAAAAAAAAAAAAAAAAAAAAAAAAAAAAAAAAAAAAAACACTATGAACTCACTAATGGGTAAAGAGAATAAGCTCTAGAAAACAGTTCATAAAATTTTGATTTTAAAAGTCAGGATGTAGCAAAAAGATTTTAAAAAGAACAATGAATTCACTTGAGGTTTGAAGAGAAGAAGCTCTAGGAGATAGATCATAAAATTTTGAATTTAGACGTCAAGAAGTAGCACGGCCAGGAAAAAAAAAAAAAAAAAGCTATACATTTAACCAACAATCACGAATTAACTATTTACATTTGTATTTTTACTTTCTCAATTTTTCCCCTCAATACAACTTATCCCAACAAATTCTATGCCATAAAACTCCCATAATCTTTCATTCTCCTCGACTACACTCCTCTGATGAAAGCATAATGATTCTCCCCATTTGACATGATATAGACATCATACATTAATATCCTGAAAGTTATGCTGTTTGTAAACTTAGCATACTGCAGTAATACACCAATTCTAGGACGGAATACTACAGTATGCATGTAGGTCAACTGGCATCAATCCTAATACTCTGAGCAAAAACTCCCTAATGCACAAGAGGCAGCCTGCAAGCACAGCATTATTTCAACTTGCCAAAAACTAGCATGCTTTTCCAGCAAGATCCATTTGAAAATTGTTAGATTTCAAAGCACAAAAGGGTGAAAAGGAGAATCAAGAACCTGAGAGCAGAAGTCAAATCTATAGAGATATACAGCATTACAGCGTAGAAGATACCTTACAAATACACCTCAAAACATCTCGAATGGCACCGATATATCCAATATTGAAAACAGGAAGGGCAAGAGTCAGATATCCATAATGACCTTGACAGTTTTCGAATTTTGCATGACATGTTGCACAAATACCAGCCATTTTGTTGGTAGGCCCCTAACAACATAGAACATATTAAGTAATGACTGGAAAAGCATACACAATTTAAAAACAAATGGCCAAGCATATCAAGAGGCTCCTCTACTAGTCTACTCCATAGTCCTCATACTAATTCCGAGATCAGTAAGATGTTCCTTATGATCACATGGGTTAAATCTTAAATGTGTAATCAGTTCTTTATGTACCTTCTTATTTTGGTTGTGTTGAAGCTTATTCATTGAACTAGAGGGAGTGTTAAATACACAATGACAAAATGAACCTACCAATTTCATAAAATATAATGGAGTTATATCATTATATATTTTTTATCACTCTGTTTTTCAGTATCATATCAAGAAAATGTTGCTAAACACAGCTGAGTACTATTTTATACTTGTATAATTTATCGTGACTAATTGTAGATTTGTAATGTGACATCTTGAAATATGACACTTTAAAATATTGAATTCTTATATCATGATTAACCTTTTTAGCATCAAGTCAATTATAATTTCACTATTATATTTTGTAATCGACTTCCAATGAATTTTTTCAAAGGTTAAATTTTACACTTCTAGTAGCAATTTTCCTTCAAATTATATTGAGTCACATTATATTGAGTCAAACATTTTCAAAAAAAAAAATTGAGTCACATTATGATAATTGTGTTGTGTGTTGTGTGTTGTTACACTTGTATTAAAAAGGTATTTACTTAATTTTACTTCTAACAATATCAAAATAATTCCACTAATTGGTAAATCTATTTACAGTGAGGACAATAGCGCTAATAAACCCATAGCTTGTATAAGTATATGACACGTCAGCATTAGCACCTTTACTGTTCATGTCTTATTGACTTATTGGTTTTAAATACGAAGTATAAAAATGGTATACATAGCCCCTTGCGGCTATATATAAAAAGCAAAATGCGGAATAGATACATAATAATATTCATCCATTATACTAATCTACATGGGATATTATCATGCCTAAAAAATATTTACAACCCTAACGGCTACATATATCATTACCCAATATATTTTGCCTCGCCCTATGTACGACGCAAAAACACAAAAAAATGCTCAGTATAGACGTATAGTTATAGTAAGATTGTTCCGTCTTGCATTTCCTTACATATTTTGCCGCCCTAATGCTTATATTTTGAAGAATGAAATCTAAAACGTAAAATCAACAACCTAGAACCCAAGAATTCAATGGTAAATTACTAAAGAAAGAGCAAAATCAGCAGAAATTTATGAAAGAGTAAGAAATTTCACCATTTTGGGGTCTAATAGACCGTTAGCAATCGGCCTTTTTAGTTGATCATAATAAACTCCTTGGTAAACTTCAACTTCAGCAATTTTACTGATTTCTGATGCCGAAAACATCGAAAATTTGACGCTTTCTCTGCATTTCAGTCAAAACGTAAACGCAAAATCAAATTCCGATTTACTTTTTATTTTTTTTTGTTTTTTTGGTATAATGTGAACTACAATTTCAAAATAATTTTTTTTTTTAAAAAAAGTAAAAAATACTGACATTTTACTAGCATCATCTTCCGGGATGCATGGCTGCTTTGTGAACTGAACTGTGTTGCATGATTCATCGTTCAGCTGAATTCCTACCGGAATTCTGGAATTCCGACAATTCTCCGGCGGAAGAGACGGAAATGAGAGAGGTTAAGAGGCGGAGTGAAATGAATGAAGAAAATAAAAATGAAATGTAGGGGTTAGGGTTTGAACCTGGGACCTCCCGGTGTAAAACTTAGTATTTGACCACCACGTTATGTATAGCAATCTGTGCTATGCGAATTTTTTTACTATTATCTTTGTTTTTTTTTTAAAGTAAGATACATGGAATAGATTAAGAACGTCTTCTCGTATGACTATGCCCTAATCTATCTAGAAAGAAAAAATAAGAAACTTTGCTATCCATAAAAGAGTTAATAATTTGGTGCGTCGGAGGAGAATACTCAAGAGAGGTAACATAATTTGACGTTCGATTTCCTTCAAGGTAGATATGCTGGGATTTGAAGACTGAGAAAGAACCCAAAATACTCTTGACGTCACCCGTCATTAGCTAGAGCTTCCATGGACCATGGGCAGGTTATATTGACCTTGTAAAATATTAGTAATTGTTATATTAGCACATTCAATAAAACAAAAGGAAGGTCGGTCATTACGAAGGACAATGGTTTCAATAAGAAAAGTCGGGCAAGAGCCTAAAGTATAAGTATGACTAGCAATATGATTCCCTAAATGGTTCCCTAATAACAATGCCAATAGAGGCTGAATTAATAAGGGCGAAACCATCAAAATTGATCTGAGCTTACAGTAACCCACTTGGAGGGGACCAAGATATAATAGTAGGAGACGACTGGTTGGAAGGTGGATGTCATCCAAAATAGAATGAGCCTGTCATTCTTGAAATAGAGAAAAGGCACGAATATAAATACATTAATATTGGTCTTAGAATTTTTATTTTATTTTTTTAATAAGAGCATTATGACATTTATAAATACTCCAAAAAAGGATGGCAATCTTAGGTAGAGAGCGGGGAGAAGCAAGCTTGAGAGACCGAAAAAAAATCTAGGATCGTAGTAGAAGATGGGATTAGACCTACCCAATAAATACGAACATAAGCAGAAGACCAAAGATTTATAAAGAAAAGGCATAGATGGTATAAGTGATGTTGAAACTAAAAATGCACATGATAAAACGCACAACAAGAAGGGACATTAATATTTCGGGAGACTAAGGATTGTCTAATAGGGAGACTATTCAGAAAGATTTCTTATAAACAACTTTTATTATTGGGTGGAATTAGAGCTGTCAATTTGGATATTCAAGTCAGGTTCGGGTCGGGTCAAATCAGGTTTTGAGTTGAATTGGGATCAGGTTATGTCGGGTCAATCTAGCCTCATATCAGGTTCAAGTTCAGGTCGGGTCAATTTTGGTTAAGATTATTCCAGGTCGTTTACCTATACGGGTATAGGTTGGGTTCAATTCGAGTCAAATTCAGATCGGGTTCAATTTCAGGCTCTAATTGGGTCGGGTACTAATTCGGGTTCGGATTGTTGTTGGGTCGGATTAAATCGATTGATAGTTACTATCAGATCGGGTGCGAGGTTCGAGTTTAGGTCATAAAAAATTGGATCAAATCGGTTGTCGATTAACATCAGGTCGATTTAGGTCGGGTTATAAGTCACTAGTTTCACCCCATTGTTTGGGTACAGATCAGGTTCAGATCAATGCCGATTCAGGTCGAGTTCTCGAGTCGGGTCAGTTTTTGACAGCTCTGGGTGGAATGTCTAAATTACATATCTAGTAGAATTTTCATTTAGTAGAAGACGAAATAGAATTGTGGGCCAACCAAGTGGCTAATTTGGCAGTAAATTGACCATTTTTAGACAAACACCAACATGGTTCATTAGGATCAAGGGAAGAAGGGAGGGGGATTCCTTTGACAATATGGACAAGGTCTTGAGGGAGGAGTGGAGGACTAAAGTAAAAGGGGAACATTTCAAGCATTATTTTCTAGAAAAAACATAGTAACATCAGTATTAGAAATATGATTTGGTTCAAAAACTAACAGGACAATGATATTAGTAGCACACCAAATATCAGCCCAAAAACCCCAGTTTGGTTAATTATTTTGTTAAAGTAGTTGACTTGGTTCTATAAAATTTGATTGTAAATTTACAATTTAGAAGATGAAATACTAATTATCTCCAAACAGCAAAGCAAATTCAGGATTTATACATCTCAATTTTTCCTAATTAGAAATTTTGAAATTGAATGTAAATATTTGCAATTCTAGATTTAAAATTAACCATTTTAAATTAAATCCTTGTATCCAAACACTACCTAAGGTAATTCGTTGTTCTAAATTAATCATCACGCTCTCTATTTAAACTTGTGCTAATTTAATCATCACACTTCCTTTTATGAATATGATCAACTAATAGTATTCAAATGAAATTATTAATTTAATGTCGAACACTTTTGTACGCAACAACAAATACAAATAAGAGGGAGCCCACTAGATGACCAATGACCTGGTTATGAGAAGAGATAAAGAACTTTTGGTATTAAAAAATTAGAAGAAAAAAATAAGGGGGGAGAGATGGTGATGACCCGGTCATTGGAATGACCAAGACAAAGCTTCGATGATCATGAGTATAATAGTTGACGAGTGGCAAAATACTATTAGAAGGAAATGGGAAAGAGAGAGAAATTGTTATTTACTATTACCTATCATGACCAAAGTTATATTGGGCAACTATTGGTAGTCATTGGTCAATGGTCATTGTTAGTCATGTGACTTGGTCATGGATGAATGGAAAGAGAGATAAACTATTAGTCCATGACCTAGATTTTTTGGTCATTAAGTGAGTATGACCTAACTAGTTAAAACTAACATCTAATGCAGCTGGTGTTAAAAAAAATAAAAATAATAATAAAAAAAAATCTAATGCAGCTATCAAAATTAACTAGTAGATGCATACTTGTATAGCAATTAAACATGCAATTTTTATATACAAAAAATTGATTACTTTGTATCAAATATCTTTCCCCTGGTAATCCAGAAGCAGACCCACTTGTGGTCATAATGAGTCATTGGACACAGTGTATTTTTTTGTAAAAATTATTTATCCGTTTATACCTCCAGTATATTAAAATCGAAAATATCAATATCAACATACATATTAAATTACCAATCAATTTATTTTTTTTGGAGTATCTTTTTATCTTGGTCCCTACCACACTCACAAAATGCCAAAAATATTTTCAATTCCCAAACTATCTCTTTATAATAAACAACTCTCTCTCTCTCTCTCTTCATGCCATTCACCAATCTTTTACGTAGTATATAATTGCAGAGTCAGTTAACTACAATCCTCCAAAAGCCAGATTCTCAAATCTCATGCATTGGTTTTTTTTTAAATTTATTTTATTTTATTTTTTATTTCATTTTTTCTATAACCTTCAATATAATAACTTCCACTTCTCCATTTTTTTTAATAATATCCACTTCTCCATTATTTCTAATAACTTTCACATCTCCTATTACATGTTACGTATATAAACTCGACCTGCATAAGTTACGACATTAACCCGGATTGACCCGACTCAAGTTGTTAAACCGCTAATTTAATTGACCAACAAATATCATCTTCATAAAGCCAAATTTCAAAAACAAATCTAATAAGCATGATGATGAGGGAATAAACAAATCAAACGCAACAAACATATTATATATTATGCTATATAAAAACTTAAATAGATCAAAGCTTATAATTTTTTTTTTGTTGTTGTTACTTTTTTATGATTGCAGAATCAATTCACCACAGTCCTTCAAATCCCCAAAACTCAAATCTCAAATTTTTAGTTTTTTATTTATTTATTTATTTAGTTTTACTTTTACAGACCAATAACTACCCAAGTACCTATCCCACTATATTATTTAATTATTTTAAAAAAACATCAATAAGGATTAAGGACAATAACTACCCATCCCAATTGATTAGGGGATTTTGCTCCCACCAATCGGAATGCGCCACGTGGGCCAATCAGGTCCTGCCAAGTGTTCCCCAGTTGGACCTCTCAGGGCTTGCCACGTGGCACACGCTTATTCGTCCGCCTTGGACCTATTATGTCATGACACGTGGCATACTCCATGCCTAATGGAGAAGTCGGCCACCCAGGCCCAACTTCCGAGGGAAGCCCAATCAGCCCAAGGTTAACCTAAACCTAGATTGGCACGTTTCCCGAGGTTATAAATACCTCCCTTAATCCTCATTAAGGGAGATTACGCAGATTACACACATTAAACTCTCTCACCTAGAGAGACCCAATCACTTTAATTTCCGCATTAATTACTCCTTAATCAATTACTAACTTGACCGTCGGAGGCGGATCTCCAATCATCCGGAGCATCCGTTTGTTTTGCAGGTACAGGCGTCCGGTTCCAGTCTCGGAATTGTAACTCTCCCGCAGGACATCAGAAAACCCCGAAACATTTTGGCGCCGTCTGTGGGGAGAGTACTTCTGAGATGGCATCCACGTTTGTACCGGCTCCTGAAGAGAGACGTCCCCTGGACGACCCTCTAGTTCAGTCGGACTACGATACTGAGAATGAATTTGAAGTTGAAGCTCACACAGCTTCAGACGGGACCCTAAGGGCCTGACGTACCCGTCATACCGAAAGGAGGGAACGGGAACATCTTCAAACTGGAAGCGAGCCAGCAGGCGCACCGCCTGTTCGGCAGCAGCCGACTGATGGGTCTGCTCCCATCACAAGGAACGAACTCATGACCTTCATGAGGGACTTCAAGGGAGAAATTCAAGAGTTGATCAACAAGAAGCCGCCTGCTCTGGACAAGGAG